TATTAAATAATGAAACAGCAGTTTATGAATATATGCGACAATTTGTTGATTATCAAGAAAATGGAATTGATCTAAATGAATTATCACAAATTCGACAACTTGATATTTATTTACAAAGTATTTTATTACTTTTTGTTTTTATGCATGTATTATGAAAGAGTTAAGTTAGACATTAAAGTTTAATCGAGTACCCCAACTGGTTATTGGAATCAGAATAATAAAACAACCGACAGAATTGAAAAAGATTTTTTATTAAGTTGTTTTTCGTTTAAGTATTGTTCAAATGAACTCTTTAGAAAAATGATAACGATATTTTCACCTATTCGCGTTTAATCAGCTTCTTTGGGATCGTCATGAACTAATGTTGAGCATCGATTTGCTTGAAAATATAATCGGTCGATAGAGCTTGAAGCTCTGTAACTAGTAGAACATAGTTATAAGAATCGACTAAGGCTTGCAGTAAGTCACCAGTTATTTCACTGGTAAATAATCTACTGAAAAATGAAAACAATGCAATATAAGAAGTATTTTTTTTTCTGGAATTATAATAGATAGTTTCTTTCTGTTGATCTCTTTGTTTTGTTCTACAGATTGTTATAATCGTGTCCGAGAACTTATTAATAATCTGCGTAATAAACAACAACATGATTCGGTAAATATCATTTTTTATTTTATACAATACATTTATTTTCTTGTTATTTAGCAATCGCAATCGGATATTCAAACAATATTAATAAAAACTTTAATACAAGCTAAAGCAATAGGTGATAAAAAAATGCAATTAAGTCAACAAATGCTTGATACAACTGAACGACAATCAAAAAAACTTAAAATAGCATATCAAAAATATAGTAAATATTTCGTTTTAATTTGAATTATTTTTTTGAATTTATTATTATTTTTCTAGTTGAATCAATAAATCAACAATCAACATCAACAGAGAATAATTTAAATGATATAGATTCTGAAAATGAATTTGATTCTGATATGAATAATCAACGTTCATTATCAACAAAAACAACAACAACATCATTATGGAAACGTAAAACAACAACAAATAATCCATCAACATCAACAATAAATGTTAAACGAAAATGTGTTACTAATACTGAGCATAATAATGATCAACGTGAAAGAAAAAAACCTACACAACGAAATACAAATTCTAATACACAAACTACAAATAGTGGAAATAATAAAAAATTTAAATTAAATAATGATACAACATCAACACCATCTGATGAACCAACATATTGTTTATGTTCACAAGTAAAGCGAATAATAACAAATATTGTTCTCATATTAAATCGTTCTTCTTTTTTTTTTGTTTGTTTTTAGCTATCTTATGGTTCAATGATTTTATGCGATAGTAAATCATGTGAAATAAAATGGTTTCATTTTAATTGTGTTAATTTAACAACAAAACCTAAAGGAAAATGGTTTTGTCCAAATTGTCGAGATAATCGTTCTTAAAAAACAACAACAATAACAACAAACAAAAAGAACAAGATTTTTTGTATATGTTTGTATGTACATATTTATTATTTTATTGTTGGTTTTTTTTTGTGTTCCTTGTTTTTTTTTTTAAAGTCACAAATAAGATATATAAAAATTTATTTCGTAGAGTTTAAACAAAAATGAAATTATTCTTTTAAAATTTTGTTTGATTATATATATATATATATGTATATTGATATTATTTACTATGAATTGAACAATTTATATACAAAAAGAAACTCATGTCTACAGGTAATGCACTTACCCATTTTTGACCTTAGCATTGTCATAATTCATTAAGTTAACATGGCAAAATATTGAAACTTACGGTGCATCTAGATATATGAAGGCTTTAGTTTCACCATGATTTTCATTTGATTGAATTGTGATGACTCTAGAAGGATAAAAAGTCATGGTAAGGCATTCATCCGAAAGGACTGTTACACTAAAGCAATTCAAAAAAAGTCCATACTTCGAAAGTTGCTCATTGGAAACACCATGTTTTTAATTGTGTTTGCGAAGTGATCTATTAATGTCAAACTTCAAGGATACTACTGTTATTTTAATTTTAAAAATGACAAGGTAATGTTCAACATATGATAACAGACAATAGGACTCAGTTGTTTGTAAAACATTGCATGAGGTTAGATGAGAGCTACCATCTATTCTTGTCTTTATTCAAAATAAATAACAACTATCGGTAGAAAACATGAAAACCTCGAAAAAAAATTTGAATAAGTTCACTTGTTTTATGTTTCAGAAATCTTCTACTCAACTTTGGACAAGCTGACAAGACTAAAAACCATATTTAATTGTTTTAAAATTTTACAATGCATATTAATTATTAGATAGGAGTCTTATAAGTCGAAATATATTCAAACACACGTATGATTCTTTTAACCCTTTGGTTACGGGACACGTATATATACGTTTTGAATTTCGCTTACAGTACGGTTGCGAAATTTTTTTTTCTTGATTAGATCATCAGAGTGCCCCTGTTGCTCTCGTATTGCCTCGTCATTGTGACATCGAATAGCATTATTATGCATTGTATTTGTCAACTTTCTTCTGCATTCTGTTGACATAGATTCGTTGTGATATATTTCGTCATAATAGTTCAGGCGGATTTTTCTTCGTACTTTCCTTCTTATCGACTGATGTTCTATGTTTCTGTCTTGAATTGAAATTGTTCATGGAACAAGTTCCAGGATATTCATGATAGTTGGTGAGTCTCCACGCATTGCTTGTTGAAATTCGCCAGCATATTCCATAGGATTTTTCCAATGTGGTCACATACGTCATGTTGGTTTTTCACAACATTTGTAACGTTGGACTTTATGTTATGGGTTGTTTTGAAGAGTATCATACTCTGAAACATTTCTGAATGCTTCTGTATCATAAAAAAATCTAATTAAAGATTTTTGAAAAAAAACAATATTTCTCAGACAAAAAAAAACGGTCACCAAATGATTAAATAAATCTTATTCATTTATTTATGAGATCTTTAGAATAATCAATAAGATTCTTCTTAAACATTTGAACAGGTTAAAATCATTTCGGATATAGATTAATAAGTTTTGTTTCTTTACAAACTGATTTTCGACTTTTGATCATTTCGAATCACGGGAAATCATTCTTTACCTGTTCACCGCGAATCAATAGAAATGAAAGAAAATAATAAGAGATTAGGGTTTTTTTAATCTTATAACTAGAGATTTTCTATGATTTAGAATGATTTCTGATAATTTTCAACTACTTTCAGGTATTATTCATATTCTTAACACATTATAAAGATTTCTAGCATAGAAATCAGTTTATTCTCTATTGTGTTGGAAAAATTTTGAACAGAAACCACTAACATCAGCTAATGAAGTGCGCAATGGTGGATAAATAGATTTCCCGGGATCTTGTGCTTCAATGATTCTATCTTCATTTTTCCTTTTTTTGATGAGTAATCTGAACTAAAAAGAGCTTGTGTTCTCATTAAGTTACATTATAACCTATAAATGATGCTAGAAATTTTCGTCGCAATAACAAATTATCACAACGGTACAATGTTGCAATAACTCTTAATGATAAATATATATTTACATCTTAGAAAATGACTTTCTCATGGTGGGGGATGTGGCTATTGATATAAGTGTTTCTTTCGTTAGCATTCATATTTAGATCCCAGAAAAGATACTACAACGTGATGTCTGTGCGACAATTTATCCTGCAATGAAAAGTCTAGTGCGGTTATAAATCATAGATTTTTTCTAGTAGAAGCAACGCCAAAAATCGGAACTAAAGTGCTATAAAATTGTCAATAAATATATGTTTGACATAATGTTCATTTATGTCATTGACTAACATAATCTACTAGAAGAAAAACAAAAGAAATTTTCCATATATCATTGAAACTCAATCATTTAAACTGGAAAAACGAAGGAGAAAAACCATATAAACGATATTTTTTTATCGTCTCTAACTTTATATAAAATAATGCTTTTATTATGTATTCTCCTATATTCATTTATATGATGCTCTTGTAGTCTACAGATATGTCTCTGAAAAAAAGCAATTGATGATTGTAAAAAGAAAAGATATTAATACATAACTCGTTAATAAGTAAAGGCAAATAAAATATGATTGACAACTTGTCAAAACAAATAAATATTGAGGGCATTATAAACCAAGCTACCAGCAGACCTGACTTATACACACATGCTAAATCAAAATACGGCAATGGATCCAATTAATTTATATTCTTTTTGTTTGAAAAGAAGTGAAACTGCATTTACTTTTCTTTCTTCCCTGTATTATTCTGCTTCCAATTGTAATGCATTTTCGACTTATTCCAATTAGTTACTTTCAAAATTTAACGAACTACAATTCTGCCTATAGTGATACATAACGTTCGAAATGAACCTCAAAAACAAATTCAAGTAGATTTTCATCAGAACAGGCTGACAGATCTAATTGTAAACATTTGTCTTATTGAATGAAAGATTCATTTTATGATTAAATTCAAATAATTTATTTGATTCTATGTTATTACTTTTGTACTATATTTGAAGAAAAACATTCGTTTTCAATTGAATAAATAATTCGATGTGAATCAAAACTTATGAATACATGCTCACTTTTTTGAAATAATTTGTTGACTTAATAAAATCAACTGCAAGAATGAATTTCTTTATCTAAAATGATTCTATTTATTATTGAATATTAACATTGAAAGAAACATTTTCGTCGAGAACAAAAATTTGACGTTATTAGAATAATATCTTTAGCTGGTCTTCTTATAACAATAAATAAAGTATTAATTAGCAGAAATAAGGAACAAGATAAATATCACTAGTGGTTTTTTTCTCTTGTTATTTTTGACAAATAATTTTAGAAAATAATCTTTTTTTACACTACAAAATCATTAAGTAATTGAATTCGTAAGCATATGAAAAAAAAATTTCATTCTTGGTTCTATGAGTTTATAAATGTTATTTTTTTCGATAATTTTGAATCTATGACATTCGGGTTTCGATATCAGCTTTTAATTGTTCGACATTTGCGCCAACAATTCGATGAATTTCTATTTCGTCTTTAATAAAAACAAATGTTGGCATTGCTTCAATACTATATTCTTGTGAAACAGCTTCCGCTTGATCGGTGTCACATTTAAGAAATACGACCTTGCCTTTAAAATCGTTTGAGCTCCATTCTTCAATTTTTGGTGCGATACGAACACAGGGACCACACCATCTAATAGATAAAAAATAATTATCTTTTCTTGTATTTTTACGAGAAAACAGTTTCACTTACGTTGCAAAAAAATCTATTATGATTAATTTGCCTTTGTTTTTCTCATCACCAAGTTCACTTCGAAGTTCTTCAATCGATTTGATTTCATGGACCATGATTTATAAATTTTTATTCAGATACGGAATGAAATATAAACTAAAAAGAAAAAAAAATTAAAAATAGTAACAACATTATTTTAATAATAATGATGGTAAGCAAACGGAATGAAAGTATGTATTTAAAAACAGAAAAGAAAAGAAAGTTGGTTACTGATAGCAACAGCTCATTTACTGTTATTTCACTCGCAAATATAAGAAGTAGAAAGAAGACGGCAAACATTCGTTTCTTTTTCTTCTTTTTTTTATCCTAAAAAAGTAAGAAACGTTTTATGACTAGTCAAGTTGACTGAAAGACGGAAACAATGAAATTGTTATGAATAACGATATAATCATTGAAATGGCATTCGAGCAAAAATTTCCGATTGCTAGAATGATTATATTAACTTAACTTTAAAAAAGAATAGTTCATTATTACAATAATGCTGTTAATTTTATTATTCATATCACTTAATTTGTATATTGAGAACTAAAAGAAAACAAATCTAAAAATAAAAATTTGTAGAAAAAAAGAAATTTATTATAGAGATTTTTCCGAATAAATAATTTAGTTAGAATAACACTATCTTCGGCATTCATTAAGCTGATGTTCCTGTGTATATGAGCTATACATTTAAACTGGTGTTTCTTTGCATTGAAAAAGTGTTCCTCGTCTAATTAGAACATATATATATATATGTTCTAATTAGACGAGGAACACTTTTTCAATGCAAAGGNAAAATTCGCCCACCCACACTCGTTTCTTTGATTTTGTCTAAGAGGAACATCCTCTCTCTCTGTTACGTATACTTTGATCACGTTAAAGATGAACATGTATATATATGTTCTAATTAGACGAGGAACACTTTTTCAATGCAAAGGAACACCAGCTTAAATGTATAGCGTATATACACAGGAACACCAGCTTAATGAATGCCCTATCTTCGATTAATTAAAATTTCTTTATTGATATTTAGCGCCATCTGAAAAGTTTTCAGCATACATTAAAGATGTTTTTATGACTGTCTTGGCAGTGGCGAATTTAGGGGGGTGCGACGAAGCGATCGCACCCCCTTGCCAGAAAATTTTTTCGATTTTTTCCAGCAAAGACGAACGAAAAACATGTTCATACTACCTAAAATGTACCTGAAAATGTGCCTTTTGCCCATGATCGCATCCCCCTTCCAAAATTCTGGATCCGTCACTGTGTCTTGGACTTTAGAATCTTTTAGAAAAGGACGAAATGTTTATTAAGATACTTTATTAAGTGTGAAAAAATAAATGTACTACTTGAAATTAAATGCAAAAGCAGTTCATGAGTTAATAGAGGGCTTATTCTTTTTTGTAGTACTCAAATCGAAGTTTATTGAAAAACAATTCTTTTTTTAGGAAATTACACACTATGATAAAATATAGGATTCATACCCTTCTGATGTTTTACTAAAGCAAATATCAGAAATAGGATGCTGCATTGGATGAAACTAATTGACTGAAATTATCTCATAAATCCTTTTCTTTTTGGTTCGAAAACTTATTTATTTTATTTTTAATGATAATAAAGTAAAAAACAAAGCTTATAAATTTCAAAACATAAAATATTGTATGCTTTGCAATTTAATTTACTTTAAATAAATTATATTCGCTGATTGAATAAACAAGATTGTAAATATTTGTACTAACTAAATGTGGAATAAGACTTGTAGTACGAAACATATTCTATGGTACTGTTAGTAGTCAATAACGGAAGCTATCATCGTTGATCGAATTATTAGAAAGAACTTTGACCATTCAAATTATCATAGTGAATATGTTAACGGGCCATCCATTAAAAACGTTCAGGCAAAAACTGCATTTTTTTACTGCCTTCTTCCTCACCCTCCAGTTTCTATGACTCACTTTTCCTCCTGGAGTGTTCAATATTAAAAAAAAAACTGTCAGAGTACGAATGCGGGTGTCTTACGTTAACCATTATTAACACTCACACCTATAGGCATACTCGATTTTAAAGAGCAGAAAATAGTAAAAACAAACATTGAAGTTCAACGCTAATGACAGTCGAAAAATCTAGCAATGCTTATATTACTGCTCCGGAAAATCACTAGCTTATTCATGTAGCATAGTCTTCAATTATTTCTGCGCCATATTTATATTCAACTTATTGAATCAGTTCATTTCCTACTTAAGATTGCTCTGTCAAAAT